GGGGGGGGAGAGGGAAAAATGAAGGTGGGGGCTGGGAAGTTGGCTTAGTGGTAGAGCACTCGCCTTGCATGCTTAAGGCCCTGGGTTCGATTCCTCAGCACCACAAAAGCAGAAAAAAAAAGCCGGAAGTGGTGCTGTGGCTCAAGTGGTAGAGTGCTAGCCTTGAGCTGAAGAGCTGAGGGACAGCGCCCAGGCCCAGAGTTCAGACCCCACGACCGGACCCCAAAAAAAAAGAAAAATGAAGGTGGTCTGGCTTCCCAATGCCATCTCTTTTGCCTGCTTAGGAGTTGTGCTGGGCCGTGGGGGTGGTGCCATCGGCCATATGCTGCTGCCCTTCCGTCTGGGCCTGGGAGGTCCCATCGGTTCAGGCCACCAGTTCTTCCCTTGGATTCACATTGGGGACCTGGCAGGAATCCTGACCCATGCCCTTGAAACAAGCCGTGTGCATGGGATCTTGAATGGAGTGGCTCCAGCCTCCACCACGACTAATGCTGAGTTTGCCCGGGCCTTGGGTGCTGCTTTGGGCCGCCCAGCCTTCATCCCTGTCCCCACCTCTGTAGTGCAAGCTATCTTTGGGCGGGAGCGTGCCATCATGCTGCTGGAGGGCCAGAAGGTGGTCCCCCGGCGGACACTGGCCAGTGGCTACCGATATTCCTTCCCAGAGCTGGGGACTGCCCTGAAGGAAGTGGTAGCATCGTAAGTAGGGAGGTTCACAGCAGGAGGTGAGGCTTGTGCCCAGTAGATACTGTGAATAGGTGCAGGTGATTCTTAGGGAGGCTTCTCCCACAACTTTCTTCCCCATTGTGCTGTTGCTCCATCTTATTGAGAAACTCCACAGCTAGTCATGAAGTTCAGACCCTGACCTCTTCAGCTCCTTGTAAAAGAATGCCCAAGTCTGGTTTCTCTACATGGTTGTCCCAATTCTTTAAGTTATATAGAGACTGCTTTGCACTTTTGGCAATAAAGATAAATTATCTCACTAGCTTCAGTTTATCTCTTTAGCCAGATCCTCCTGGATATTTCAAGGATGTCATCTTAGATGACTCTTCCCTGCATGGGTTCTTTAAAGTTATAATAAGTAATATTCTCCTCACCCTTTCCTTTCTTGGTTAATGTTATCAAAAGAGTTGGTCACAAATAGGAAGTATGAAATTAGGATAAAGGTAGAGAGTAGGAATAATGACAACCCTGCAAACCTGTTCACAGAACACCATCAAGATACCAGCAAAAGAAGGGACAAAGACCCAGTATAGGTCACCTTCAACTTCTATCACAAAGGCAGTAGTAGGTAAAGCCAACTCTCCTGACTGTAAGAAGGCTATGATTGCCTCTCATCTGATTAGGGCCACTTCAGTGGACTAGGGCCCTCAGCACAAAAGGGCAGAAGATACTTCTGGCCTATTTACTGTATACCAACCACGTGGAAAGTGAAAAGGGCAGGTAACTAATCATGAATTACAAACTCAACCCTATCAGGAAAAAAATAAATTAGAAGTGCTCATCTAGAACCTTCTTTACCTAAAGTTGTTATAACTGCCACAACTTAGCCAGAAGCAATTCCCCCAGTTCAGACCAAATTAACCCATCTCCTTTCTTTCCCAGGATACTGGAGAATTTCCCTGACCAAACTGTCTAGTACACCTGCCCAAGTCAATATGATCTAGCTATGTAAATCTTAAACAAGAGCAAAAATACTGGGACCAAAGACCCTTTTCCCCCATCATGCAACTCCCTGTACAGTATTCAAGTCCCTGTGCCAGTGAAGGAAGTAGAAGTCAGAGCCTAAAAATTGGATCTTATTCAGGAACTTGATACAGGGCACAAACAGAACAGAATCCAGGGACGTCCATTCCATCTTCTCTCTTAGAAAACTCTAAGAAGTGGCTGGCTCTGTATTATTCTAGGGCATGACTTGCCTCAAAGGAAGAAGTAACAAAAGCATATTTTAGTCTATGTTAGAACTACTGATTAAGGGCTGGGAAGGTGGCTCAGTGGTAGAGCGCTTGCCTTGCATGCATGAGGCCCTGGGTTCAATTCCTCAGCACCACATAAGCAAAAAGAA